TAATAGATCGGACACCGTCCGGTCGCCTCGCACGCCTCCGAGCTAGAATCCTCGGAAAATCGACCCCGAATCGAATCAAACCGAAACAAAACCCAGCGAGCGCTCGGGACCGGAACCTACCGCGTGAAATTAGGTGCGCCGGAGCTTCGCCAGCCACGGCTGAGGCGCAGCAGTCGTCGACAGGAGACCGTTCAACCTCATATCTCACTCTCCAACGCTCTCGGCCTCACTCTCTCTCCGGATCTCTCTCTCACTCCCTCCCTTCTCCCCCCGTTCTCTCTCGGTCTCAGATTTAAGGACGGCCAGTGGCGTGGAGCCGGCCAGCAGGTGCGTATGGCCCCTGCCACCGCGCTGTTGACCTAGTCCCGACCCGCGGATCACGCTGGGCGATCCGCGGCGCTTCTGGCCTCTGTTCTGGCTTCTGCGTTCTGATTTTGTTCCTCTCCGTACGCTTCAGAAGGTTGACCGAGGGGAGGATGAACGGACGCGGGCCGGGCCGAGGAAAAAAGGGCCGGCCCGCATGGGAAAATAAAAAGGGAGGAAAAGATAAAAATAAATAAATAAAAACACATTTTTTTTACCTGAATATGTTCTAATAGGCCCTATTAATGCAAATGTGCCTAATGTCTATATGCCATGCAATTTAATGAAAATATTTTTGGTTTAGGGGTTAAAAATTAAACCCTAATTTTTTTATGCGATAAGACCCTAAATGATTAAGCGAAATTTAGGTGTCAACACCCATGATAGGAACTTTGGCATTATTCCCGAACCTCACCTCCAAACGAAAGGTGTCATCAAGTTTTGAGAATAATTCCTTCTCGCTGCACATGTGATTGCTACATCCGGTGTCTAAGTACCAAACGTTCTTCTGGTTTTCCACCGCAGCATCACATGTGAATAAAAGAGCATCGTCATGCTCATCGTTGCTATCAACAAATCTTGCTACCTTGGCATGAAACTTTTAACCACCAATCTTCTTACTTCGACAATCAGATTGGTAATGCCCATACTGTTTACAATTAAAACACTGAATATAGGACTTATCTTTTCGTTGTCCAGAATGCTTCTCTTGCCACTTTTTATCTTTCCTTTGATTAGAAAGTTTCTTCTTTTCATCGGGCAACGCCAACTGGCTTTGTAGAGCTTCCTCTACCGTCTTGGATTTCTCCTTGAGTCGCTGCTCGTGCATTTGTAGAGAGCCCATCAACTCATCAACGGTCAAAATAGAGAGATCCCGAGACTCTTCAATGGAAGTCACAATATATTCAAACTGCAAAGTTAGCGTCCGAAGAATCTTCTCAACAATCTGTTGGTCACCAATAGTCTCACCATTGGCCTTCATTTGATTGACAAGAGCCAATGTCCGTGAGAAATAGTCGGAAATGGACTCCGACTTTTCCATTTGAAGGAGCTCAAATTGTCGACGAAGAGTCTGAAGCCGAACCTTCTGGACCTTCTCAACACCTTTGTATATTTTGATGAGAGAGTCCCAAGCTTCTTTTGCCGTCTTCGAATTCGCCACTTTTTCAAAGATTGACGAATCTATCGCTTGAAAAATGTAAAAGAGAGCCTTACGATCTTTCTTGCAATTTTCTTTTATCGTCCTCTGCTCCTCCGTTATCAAATCTGTCGGCGTTTCTGGCTCCATGAATCCTTCTTCCACAATCTCAGTCATCTCCTGAAACCCGAATAGCACCTCCATATGGATCTTCCAATGCTCAAAATTCTTCCCATCGAACCTTGTGAGTTGAGGTTGGATCGTCCCGGCACCATTCACAGAGGCCATATGACACGAGATTTTCTAAGCCGAATTCACAAAACTCAGCCAAAACTGGCTCTGATACCAAATGTTGGAATAATAAAATTTGGAATTGATATTCTAATATGTCTTGAAGGATTACATAATATTTATAAACCCTTTAGATAACTAGAACAATTAAAAACTATCTTAAAAACAAGCAACAATAAGTAAACATTAATTTCCTCGATAACAATTTCCAAGTCTCTATATAATAATTGCAAAAATCCAATTCACGAAATGAGCTTGGATTACGAAAAGTATTTTTTATTTCCAACAGTGGGGCCTCGACTTGCACCTGAACCTCGCGCCAGCCGCGCCGTAGAGATCGGTGGCTTAAGGGTTTCAAGCGGCTGGCTTAAAGGGGAGAGTCAGAGTGTTCGGTCACCGGCTCAACGAAGTTTCACATCACGCGGCCGGCCGGCCGGCCAGTTCGGTTTGGATCCGGCTCGATCTTGGACACTTGGCCCGGTTCAAAAGGGGTCACGGACGAATTGTATCGCTTACATTTCTTTGCTCATGGATCCGTTTTGTATACCCTCTGAAGCATTATTCTCTTCGCAAGAGTAGTGATTTTTCTAAAAAAAGGACATGTTGATTGTTTAGCCATATCGGATAATTTTACCGGCGTCACGTGAATTTCTGAGTAAGGATGACATGCACATTTAGAAGCGAGTTATTATATGATCGAACTTTTTCGAGTATCAAGGCCAGCCACGACGATATATTTGTAGGAACTGGAAATGCTCTTAATCCCAGCGTTCCCGGCCATCCTAAGTTAGTTCATTTATTTCATATGGGCATTGCTTTTGTATTCAGTTTTTCTTGAAAATGTGCTTCGTTCATAAAAATAATTTCCTAACGTTATTAGAAACTTTAGAAACTTATTCGGTTGCTTTTCCTTCTGAAGTTGGAACTTCGGAAATTGAATATTTTGTTTTTACACCTTTGTAGCAATAAAAGTGAAGACGATTGTCCTTCTTTTCCATCTAGAAATGGTGTTTAGATCGTGATCAAACACATTTTTACTGTGTAGTGAAAACAGAAAATTAGACTCGTTTTCTTATATTTAAATAGGCCTTTAGCAGGTGGCTAGTGCGAGTCGCCCTTCACCATCCTATTACAAAACCCAAGAAAAAAAAAAGGCCCTTAAGTGATCTTTCTGCGATCATAAATTGTTTTGTGTGCCCTAAAAATTTTATTCAGTCGTTGTCCTCAAAGATAATATTTAGAATAATTTTTGTAAGAAATTATTGCGTGAATAAGGTGAATAAACTCAAATTTACCTGGTTCATTCAATCTACTAGGGTCCACTTAAATTATATATATCTGACCAATCAGATTCAACGGTTTATACAAGCACCGAGTGCACCGGATTCATCTAATAATATTTTGACTTTCATAGACATTAAAGAAGTGCCGAGATGCTTGTATCTTCGTTGACCGATAATGTGGGATGATTGATCCACGGAGCCAGAATTGGACATGGGTGCTGTAGTCTTGTCCAAACATTCAAGAAACATGCCAAACCATCTTTTATAGATTGTTTAGTCAAATGAAGCTCTCGATAATTGGTGATGAAGCAACCAAGAAGATCAAACTTGTCCCCGCCAATTTAAATTCAAGTTTCAAATTCAACATTAAGCTTAAATTGCTGTAATTCTTTTACACTGAATTTCATGCTCAAGTGGGTTCTTTCTTGGCAAGCTCTCAACTTGATTGAAGTGGTAGATGTCACCTTCCAATGACGTACTGTAGCCCGACATAAAACGTGCCTACTTTGAGGCTTCGACTGTATTATTCGTTCAATTAATCAAAATTGTCACCTGGCCACTTATCAAACTCATGAATTTTTCGCACGCAAGCCCATTAGCTTCCTCACCGTGTCACATTCATGGTAGGAAGTGATTCTAGTAGCGGGAGGTTATTTGTGTCAAGAGTGCGTTTGTTTCACTGAAAACTTTATAATAAAGAAGAATATTTTTCATGAGGAAAATGATTTTGTTCTCATGTGTTTGTTGGTTTCGGGAAAATGATTTCCTTCTTATTGGAAGGGAAAGTCATATTTTCCGCAATCTAAACTTATTATTTTCAGTCCATGAAAAGCGTTTTCCGTACATCGATTACATTTCTATCATTAAAATACTAGAAAGTCCGAAAATAATTTCCCCGAAATAATTTCTATTCAAACAGACAGGCCCCGAGTGTCTATCTCAACTCTTGAATATTAAATGGCTTTTAAAAAAACAAGTTACTTTAATTATTACTGATACAAAGACCCATACACATATATCATGCTTTAGATTATAGCCAATGTTATTTTAGTATTATTTGGAATTGAGAAATTATATCTAAAATGTCATCAGAAAATGGTATGAGGACTACTATTACTATTGGTATAAAAACAAAGCACAGGGTTGAAACTTCATCATTCCAAAAGTACAGGGCCTAAAGAACAAACTGAACAGGTGAAAGGAAATTACGTAAAAAGTGTTATGAAATAGAAGAAGATTAGAATTCGTCGCTTGAAACAATCTGACACAGTACGCTATTCGGTTGTTTTCTCATTTGCAGCGATCTCGATCTGCAAATGCAGGCGCAGAACTTAAGATTCTTCACATACCCTTCACATTCTACGACTTGGAGCCAGCTTATTGATACCTCAAAGTACTATGATGATGGGGTAATCAGTGAGAAACCAGAGCAGTACAAAGAACTGATAGACTTTGGAGCTGCTGATTATTCGCTATTGCATCTTGCTGTGCGTTGATTGATGGTGCTGATTCTCAGCTCATTCGGTCGAGGAACATTTATGAAATCTGTCTGGTTGTGAAGTAATCAAAGAGGAAGAAAGTACTCAGTGCATGATGTGCTTAAAAATTACGGAGAAAAAGGGGCTTTAGAGGATGAGATGACGGGCCTCCGCCGATGTCGCACTTGATCTGACTTTGGTCCTCCGATGTTGCACTTGATCCGACTTTGATCGTTGCATTCAAGCACACCGACGTTCCTGAAAAGACTGCGGAAGACATCTTGATTCAACCATTTTCCATGCATTCCTCTGAAAATGCATCAACTTCTGAACGACGACCACTAACTAGTCACCATTGACAAGCTTCCATACGAAGAGCCTTTTCATCTAGGCAATAACCCGTGCACGAATCCAGAAGCTAAGGTTCGTGTTCACGCAGGCCACGTATGTCAAAAATGTTTCCTATTAATTGACAGGCAATACAGCCTCTAATGGGGCTGACATCGAATGTAGTTGTATGCCCCATATGTTGTTACAACTATCTGTCAGCTTGATTTTTGGGTCTTACTTTATGAAAGATAAATAGAATTTTGGAGCATCAGTCAACGTTTGGGCAAAATTTTGAAAAAAATTGGATTTGGTGCTATTTTTCATCAACTGGGCAATATCTCCTCCTGCTCAACAGGAACACACGGTCTCCAAATAGTTTCCGTTCCAACATCCATAAGTGCAATCCCCTTTGCAGTTAAGTCGGCCCTGATTCGATCACTTTTTGCAAAATCCTTCTGCCTTCTGGCTAAAATTCTTTCGTCAATCAGACGCGATATTTGCTCTTCTGTCAAATCAGCCCGTATCAATGCCTTGCCTTTCAACTGCTGCAGAATCTACATTGAAGAAATTTCACATTTAAATCGAATTTGATCCAAGAAAAACTCAATAAGTATTCATAAGAACTTGCATCACCTCAGAATAAGTGAAAGGGGGCAGCAAACCCAGAATATCTAGAACACCCTTTACTTCTTTCTCTATCTCGGTAAGGGATTGAATTATTGCTGCTTGCCGTTGCTTCTGTTGCTTCTTCTGAAGTGCATTAGAGAACCAACCAATTTTAAAAGTTAGAGAAAGTAAAGCACAAAAGATACACAACAGAGAGAATGTTTGAAAAGGTGCAGCTTCTTTTATGGAAAAGAAACAGTACAACTAATTACCTTAAGGGTGTTCGCGTTATTGTTTATGAACTTCAAGGCATCCTGAAAAGCACCTGTCAGCACATGTGAAGTGTTCAAGTCATCGGTCATTTTGTCGTGAAAATCCTTCCGCAAGCCTTTGATGCATTTCTCGGCATCAGGAAGAACCCGGACCGTTTTGCCTTTTGGTTCTGTACCCTCACTGGGAGTTGCCTCTCTGAATGACGACAGAGTATCTTCCCAGTCTTGTAATGTCTAACATCGAGAAGACATCCCAAGTTAATTTTCTATAATTTTATATCAGATGGCAGACCATGCTTGCGTGCATGTCACTCATACATATACATCCAACATAATCAAGAAAGAACAATTCAGAGTGACCCAGACTAGTGGCTGCTGGCAACTAGAGCTAGGCCAAAACCGTCCAAACAATTCATACAGGTAATTACAGAGACAATAGGAATGGTTTCTTTTCTAACAGCATCAAATCCCTAGCATTTCTAATTAGTTAAATCAAGCAAGCCCACCCTTCTACTAGTTCCACATGAGTCTGAGACCAAGTATGAGTAAGCAGCCAGAAAGATGAGAAGTGATTCGCAGTTAACCAAACATGATTTATACCTGATATACATAATAAACAGCCTCCGATGCACCCTCCAACTGTAAGACTGAATAGTTGAGAGGAGATCTATAGTGTGCACTTATCAAGAAGTGTCTCAAAGCCAGTGGATGGTAGCGCTCTGTAATCTATAGTTATACAAATCGAGGAATTTTAGACACCAGGAATGATGAGAGCTCAAGATAAATGTTAACACATCAAGAAAGAAAGCGGAACAAATTTGCAAATACTACCTGACGGATCGTAAAAAAGTTACCCAGTGATTTTGACATTTTCTCATTGTTGTTGGTCACATGGCCATTATGCATCCAATAACTCACACAGCTCTCCTGGCATGCAGCCTGACTCTGGGCGATTTCATTCTCGTGATGGGGGAAGATCAAGTCAATTCCACCACCATGGATATCAAATTTAAAAGACAGATAATGAGCACTCATTGCACTGCATTCTATATGCCACCCTGGTCTGCCAAGACCCCACGGGCTCTCCCAGCTTGGCTCGCCAGGCTTTGCAGCCTACAATAACCGTTTACCGTCAGAGTTACATACCCAGATAAAATAAGAATTTACTGGTAGTACAATGCAATCCGCACCTTCCATAATGCGAAATCAGCAGGATTGCGCTTTCTAGAGTCCACCGCAACACGTTCACCTGCTCTGTGATTTTCTAGCTTCTGCCCCGACAAGCAGCCATAATTTGAGATCTTATCCACAGCAAAGAACACATCTCCATCCACCACATAAGCACAATCATTATTAATAATCTGCAAACAGCCATAAGGAATTTCATTAGTTAAAACTCTCCCTCATGATCCTAGCGACTTTTAAAATGTGAGGTGCCGAAGATGCTACATGTAAAACTAGAACTTTACAATAAATAAATAAATATAAAAGAGACATAGGCAGACATTTTCATCTGGCTGTCACCTCTAAATACCTTATTACATGGGAATATACAGTCAAAAATTAAATGTATGAAAGTCAGTTGTTTCCTCTTCTAATTTATATAAAAAATTAGTCCATAAAAAATGGTCCTTAAGCTTCTAATTTGGACTATTATTATAGGCTCCCAGCAAATTGGTGACTCAAATTACCAAATCAGTGAAAGTATCTAGTTTTCAATATTCTTGTGAAATCATTCTCTTTAGGAAATGTATGAACACAACTTCTTTTTTTCTTGGAAGTACTTAACTTGAAATTGTTCCTCTTTATACGTGCATCCTTTCCATGTGGAAAATAATAACATTTTAGAGAAAATTAAACTTATGCATATTGGTTACATATCTGCATATTCATGATTCAATTTACCTAATAACGAGAACATCTAATACAGTATCGAATAGCTCTGAAATCCTTGTCTTAGCCAACATCAACCAAATACCACTATTCTAACTTCAAATTCATCTCTCCTCAAATTTACATACGTTCATATAAAGGAACATTTCTTCAAACTCAAGCCATACCTTAAGATACATGCGAGTAAATGAAAGATGGTAACATTTGTTCTATGACAAAAGGGAGAAGAAATTACCGAATCAAACATGAACAATTAAACTTCAGAATTCTTCAGCGACATCATTTTTTCTCAGCAATAGCAGCTAAATTGGTAACACAATTATATAAAGAATTATTTCATATAACCTTACCTTCTGAAGTTCACCACAGAAACCAGAAAGGACATTTGCACTACAATATCAGAGAAATTATGAGCGAAATATAGAAAGGGTGTAAACTACATACTGTAGCAACAGCACCTCCTTTCTACATACTCTAGCCTATGTTTATTCTTGCGCTTATTGAACCCCTCTAAAATTAAAGCAGCAGATCTAGAGTTGAAACTAGAAACCTGGGTTATCATGTCCTTAATCTGTTCCATGTGATCAGAAACCCGTGGTTGGTGGGTAGGGAGGAGGCACTGCAGATCGGCCATGTCAATTAAATACTCTTGGCAAAAGCGGTTACTTAAATCCAAGGGATTCTCCCCGGTCTCATTTGCCCGACGAATAATCTGCAGATATCCACATGTTAGCAATGTCCAACTAACTGATTCGGAAACACCAAGAACAATCCAGGTATCCTCAGCATCCACACAAAATGACAGAATCTCTAAAACAATGCATGAAAATAAGTTTTTCTAACTTTAACCATAAAATGCCAGAATTTCATGATAACCACAGAATTAATTAATAACTTGAACACTACACTTCAGTGAAACGGAAATGCTTCTCTCCAACATAAAAGAGCGCCACTTCCATTATTGGAAACTGCCAGAGTTAAGTTGATGAAACAACATTCTTCTAAAGCTACTTTCAGCGACTAACACTTCAACAGGTGGCCACTAGTCAAACTTAAGAGAAGTAAATCCCCTTTACTTGTAAATTGGTGAAACGTTATGCAAGCGTTAGTAATGAAATTTTGACTAAAAATCTGAAGGATCATACTTACTTGCCGATAGCACGACAGATATTCCTTCAAAATGTGCATAGCTCATATCACAAGATTTTAAAAGTATAAGAAATAAAGAAATGAATTCAGCCAGTTATCCAGTGTACCTAATCAGGTGGAGTTTCCTCGCCGTGATCTCATCGTTAAATTTCCAATGTTCATATAGCAGTTCAGGAAATCAAAGTCACCTCGGAATTTAGAGTAGATCATAAAATCTAATAACAGCATTTGATGATGCACCAAACAGTTGTGTAATGTATGAGTTGCTAGTAAAATGAAGGAAGGAAAGAGAGAATCGAATGGCAACCACTACAACAAACCATAGTTCTACTGAGTTGAAAAGCATCCAAACCAATTAATTCTATATGACGTAATAATTACTACACTCTCATGTCCATGTGTAGAAATGTCAAAATACCAATTTTTCCAGGTTAAAAATTGCATTTCCACACCATGAAAATTTTAAAATAATTTTTGAATGGCTGATCATGATTTTCCCCTCACGCCTACTACTCTATTTGATACTTGACTTGTTCGACAGGTAATTCTCCGAAGTTGGTCAAATACCGATATTAATATATTAAAAGTCGGATACTTTCACAGACCGCGTTGTTCCTTTACATTGAACAGATCTGTCACTTTACACAATACGCAGGATATAATGTCCTCAATGAGAACCAAATCAAACTCTCAATTCTCCACAAGAACAATGTACAACTCTGATTTTCCTGTGCAAAGCTAGGCAAGTAAAGCAGACAAAACTTTAGAATATATAGATGATCCTTTGATCTTCTGATAATAGCCTCTATCTTCTCATTACATAATAATTCCTGTGGCAACCAGTCAATTAGCTCCCTCACTTTTCAAATGAAATGTCGGTAGTCCAGAAGAAGATTTATATGCATGCTTATGAGAATTACTTCAAAAATTCCTGTCTGCATATTTTTTTTCACGTCAAAAAACATCGACAGAAAGACAAATAAACTTAAGCATGATCACAATACCATATCACAAGATCACGCATGAAGAATCTAATTCAACCAAAAACACAATGTACAGCCATGAAAGAGTTTACTTCTGATATTTATATGGGCCAACATTCAGACCTTGTCATCAACATCTGTAAAATTGCGTACATAGGTGACTTCATAGTCCAAGTGTAGGAGATATCTGCAAGAAATCATTTCAAACAATAGAAAGTTAATATTCACCAAAACCCTGCAAGAGACGGCATATTATGCTACAAAAGTAAACCTGCTAGGTCATGAGTTCAGTCAGCAATTCTTCATTTCAACGAGGGGAATCGACCAAGCATGACCTCCACCTGTACACAACTAATCTGATGTACGAGGTGGAGTTTACTTCAGATATAAAGAAACCTCCTTTCTATTTCATCTTCTCCACAATCCTCCATAAGGCAACCAGTAAAGGAGAATAATCCGCCACTACTCCTGTATATTCATTCACTCAACCCTTTCCCCATACCCAAACAAAGTGAGCTTTTCCAACAGCATACTATCCTCGTGCTATCGAGCATGTTAATTAAGCTTAAGCATGAACCAAAATGCGACAGCTAAAGTGATCGTTCGGCATTTATGAGTGAAACCTCTCCCCTTACTAAACTAGGATATATGATAAACCTACATTAAATCTTTGAATCAAGATCTTCACTAAATAAACCCCACAAAAGGGTTAAACATACCGGCAAAGACCCATTACACATAAATCTCTGCCCGTGAATTTCTCTTTTATGATACCCCCATCTTCTTGCTCCTTTAGTCGAAAAAATTCCACAACAAGCAAACTTCAATCAATTCCACGAGAGACCCAAATGGCAAGAGATGGCTACCAATCCAATAAATTGTGCAACATGCATGAACCCTACACCACAATCGACCGCCGCCAAATCGGAGAGACTGGCGGTTTACCTGTAGAGGACGTCGAAGGCGACGGCGGCGCGGGCGTGGCCGAGGTGGCTGAAATCGTAGGACGTGACGCCACACACATACATGCCCACCTTGCCCTCCATCGCCGGCCTGAACACCTCCTTCTGCTGCGTCATCGAGTTGTACACCCTAAGCTCCTTCCTGTCGGCCATTGCTGAGCTCACCTCTCCTCGATCTCTCACCCGAAGCTCTTGTCGAGGGCGGTCACCCGGTCCTCGGCCTCTGCCTCACTCCCTTTCGGGCGAGCGAGGGGCGGCCTTAATGTGCGTCGTCAGCGACGGCGAGGAACGGCCGCTTGATGAACACCGGAGTAGAAACGAGCGGAGAAGTAAAATCTGAGAGCATAAAAGGGATTCAAAATTTGAAAGCGTGTTTGCTGGAGAGAGAGACGCTGGAGAGGAAATATTAGGGGTGAGCGGTTCTAGGTTCATCACAGGTTCCGCCTGGAACCTAGAACCTACCCTCGGGTACAAGTTCCTCATTTTTTGGAACCTGAAACCTAGCCGTCGGAACCTGGAACCTGAAACCTGGAACCTGGAACCTGGAACCTGCCCTGTCACAGGTTCCAGGGTCGGTTTCCAGGTTCCAATAGGTTCTTTCTTTTTTTTTTCTTTTTTAGTTAAACAAAACGAAAATGAACAAAAATCATAATCCACAGTTGCATATGTCCAAATATTTCTTAAGGCGATCTGAAAGTAATATTCCAAAGCTAGAAGGTTGCAAAGAAATCATTAAAAAATAATTGGGAACAAACCTAATTGAAGTTCTCCTCTTCCTTGAACATAAAACTAATCTGATAACCCCGGAAGCACATTTATTGCAAGATTTGTTATTGCTTCAGCCATAAACCGGTCCCCAATTCTTCAACCAGTCAACTAAGAAAAAGCATAATCATTTAGTTAACGTTAAAAAATGCAAGAGAGAAGGGTGTAAAATCTGGATACTCAACATCTGGCCCATAACTTAGAGAGTCCTGAAGAGGCTATCACCATAATATAACTATATACAAGAAAACGAGACGACAAAGTCCTCAAAGGGGAAAAGAAGCATCTACAGCCTCACCTTCCACATCACAAAGAAACATGTATGACAGTTCACACAAAGAACAAGATATAAAGCATCTTTTTTTAAAAAGCAGCTCAACTTCTCTAATCAACCCAGGTAGTACTTAACATTGTGGCAATCTCTGCATGACAACGTGTCGTATTAGAGTTAGGCCCCGTTTGGTTCAGCATTTGGGAAAAGCCTTTGGCCAAATGCAAAGGTCTTTAGCCTAAAAGACTTCGGAAAAATGCTAGACTGTTTGGTAAACTATATAACTGAAAAGGGCTTTGGGGAAATACTAGACTGTTTGGTAAACATATATTTGCAAAGCTCTTTGGTGTGACCAAATTAAGTTTTTTAACTTTTAAATTTTAAAAATTGAAAAAAAGAAACAATGATCGTAACTTTTATATTTTCGCATTGAGAGCAATGTAAAAGATACATATTAACATTTATAGAAAAAAAAATCTTGCTAGGGGTGAACAGTTCTAGATTCCTTACAGGTTCCATTTGGAACTTGAAACCTACCATCGGATACATGTTCCTCATTTTTTGAAACCTGAAACCTACCCATCGGAATTTGGAACCTACCCTGTCACAGCTTCCAGGGTCTAATAGATTTTTTTATTTATTTCATTTTTAGTTAAACAAAACAAAAATGAACGCACTAATACTGAATAAACCTGCCATTCACCAAAGAGAATATAAAAGATTAATTTTCCAGAAATTACGGTTCAAAAATACCATTAAAACGAGAAGTCATTACGTAAATCGATACTAGGGATGAGCAGTTCCATATTCCGTATTGGTTCCACCTGGAACCTACCTATCCTCATTTTTTAGAACTTGAAACTTATCCTATCACAGGTTCGAAGGTCGGTTCAAGGGTCTACCCAGGTTCTACCTATATTATTAATTGAATAATTGCAAATCATCACCTTTTGTGACCACCACTTGCTGCAATGATTCACCTAACACAACTTATATTTAGACACATGAAGAATATGAAACATTAACGAGTCATAAAATGAAAGCTCGAAATAGTGGTTCCAGATTATACACTCATCATCTAACACCATGAAACACCAAAGGATCACACGACGACATAAACCAAAAAAAAATACAAAAAACTTATTTAGGTTTCAGGTTCCAAGTTCGAGGTAGGGGTGAGCGGTTCCAGGTTCCTCACTGGTTCCACCTGAAACTTGGAACCTACCCTCGGGTACAGGTTCATCATTTTTTATAACCTGAAACCTACCCTTCAGAATGTGGAACCTGGAACCTACCCTGTTATAGGTTCCAAGGTCAATTCCAGGTTCTTTTTCTTTCTTTTTTTTTTCAGTTTTAGTTAATCAAAATGAAAGATCACCATTTCCACGTAATCACATCCCAAACCCACCCACAAGAAAATGCTCAACAAGAGAAGCATATACAACACAGGGGCAAAATCACATATCCTATATTCCCACTTCATTGTAAAGATCAAGGAGGAAGCAACCTCAAACACTTAAAGATGACAAATTGAAATCAAATTTTGTGGACAGTTGGATAAAACTATTCCGCTAACCATGATCTTTCTCTAGGAAGTATGTTCTTCATAAGTTGCAAACTATAAGAATTTCTGGGCAAGTGGGTGATCATCAAATCACAGAGACTATGGTAACACATAACAGACAATCACGTGAAGAAACAACATGAAGAAACAGCTTCATCCTGCTATAGCAGTCAAGGACTTTAACTTGATCAATAGCCTCACGAGCAGTCAGCTTATGCAGAAGCAAAACTAGAAGGTTTAGACTCAAAGCTGAACCCATGGAGACTGGAATTATGCAGCTGCAATAGGCTAGGGACGAATTGAAATATCTTTAATTAACACACTAATGCATGCAGTGCCATCGCCACTAGTTAAGAGATGATAAATAACTTAAACAACAATTCTCACCATGAAGCTATTGAAATTCTAGCCACACACAGATGCATGCAGTGCCATCACCACTGGTTAAGAGATGATAAATAACAAAACCAACAATTCTCACCATGAAGCTATTGACATTCTAGCCACACACAGGTCAATTTTGTCCAATCCAAGCTAGAAAATAATTTTCGAGGAGCAAAGAACTTCTCATATGTTTTCCATATGTGGCTTCCCACAAAATATAGTTTTTTTAAACAGGGAAGCTCAATGAATGAAGAGAATTCACTGATATTCAAAGAGATGAGAGCAGAAGACATACCAGGCCTTCAGACATAACATCCCTGAGCTTTCCCGGTTTTACATTTGTAATGAGCATGACATGCCGGTTCTACAAGTAAAAAGGAGAGAAAATTGGTCTGTTTCCAAAAAGCTTATTAAACTGCTCCTTACTTTAGTAAGGCAATGAGGTAATTGCAATACCATCAACTCATCTGGACTGCAAAATTTGGCCAAGCCACTAACAACCTGCCTCAATTTAGCCTCTCCAACATCAATTTCTTCAACAAGTAAATCGAACCGCCAAACCAAGAAAGGAACTTTAGAAATCAACCTCTGCACTTTGCATGACTATCATATCAGAATTAAAAGTTTACGAGGTAGAATAGAAGACTGTGATTAACAAAAGCTAGCGCTTTTGGGAGGGCAGTGAGAGTGTATCTCAAAAAACGACAAGAAGGGCCACACAATCAATATAAACTTAAGAGGACAGCAACAATGTCACTCGAGCTTCACCATGAAAACGGGGCAAAATTTCCCCCCATCCATAGATTACATCAGACCCGAGCAAGTCGTAGACAACACAATGGGCTCAAACAAATCCCTGATAAACTCCCCTCTCCAATTTACGCGAGAAAAAAAGAACGGAAGAAAAAAATCGAAGACTCTGACAGAGACAACGCAATGGGCTCAACGCTCAAAACAAAGCCACGAGATCCTCCATTTTCGCACATAAAGAGAAAACAAAACAAACGAGACTCAACACGGTTCGCATGCATCATCGCCAAAAACACCAACGAATTCAGCAACGCAGCAGCATCGGAAGCGCCAAAAAAAAAAAAAAGACAAAAGCCAGCACAAAACATCCAAACGGAGACGCGTTTTTTCGAGGGGAATTGACGACGAGCAGCGATGAGGAGAACAAAATCTGACCCAAATGACGGAACCGTAATGCGCTTCATCGGGGAGCCCGAGACCCTCGAACCGGGAACGAACGCCGCGCCGGCCCTCGAGGGTATTCGGTCGCTGGCAATCTCGCGTGGGGCAAGAGAGCAAGAAGGACGGCCGGAATTGCACCTCCGAGGAGAGACGGTGGGAGCCTGCCGGAACCCTAGCGAAGCGCGAGAATGGCAGAAATGCAGAAATGCTCGCGGGTGGAAGTGAAACTGAAGGGAAAGGAAAGACCAAAAATTAATTGTAATATGTTTTAGGGATCACGGTTCGGGTTTCGGTTCCGGTTCCGATTCCCGGTTTCAGTTCGGTTCCTATAGGAACCGGGAACCGGAACCGCCGGTTCCTAAAAATGGAGAACCGGGAACCTGACCCTCTCTTCATGGAACAAGGAACCGAACCGGACCCGCCGGTTCGATTTTGCGGTTCTTGGTTCTACCCGGGAACCGCGCTCACCCTTCTAGGTTCCAAGTTACACCTATCTAGAACCTGAAATCTACCCATCGAAATAGGTTCCCCAATTTTTTTAACTTGGAACCTACCTTCCATATCATATATATATATATAAGGGTTAATAACCCTAAACTTGTATACTTATGATAAATTTACCACAAACTAATTTTTTAACCACGAAAAAATCTCAAACTGGTATATCTATGACAAATTTATCCCAAACTAATTTTTTAACCACCAAAAACCCCAAAATGGTACATTTTGACAAATTTACCCTCCGTTAAATTGAATTAGTACCACGAAAAAGCACAAATTGGTACACCTGTTACAAACGGAGAGTAAAATCCCAAACTGGTAGATCCGTCAATCGCCACGTGTTATCCAACATAGAAATTTGACGGTAAAATTTTAACAAAAATTAACGGAGAGTAAAATTATCACAGAAGTCCCAGTTTTGGGTTTTTAATGATCAAAAAATTAGTTTGGGTTAAATTTATCACAAGTGTACTAGTTAATGGTTTTTCGTGATATTAGTCCTATGTATAAATGCCTTACATTGAAACTAAACCCGATGATCAAAATTCTACCGAAGCTCAAATGACCCACCTTATACAACTCAAGTAAATCTATCTTCAAAGGTCGCGACCGTGACCGTTTGAGCTTGAAGCTTATGGCAGCTATACTGCTTGAGCTCGAAGCTTACGACCATGACCATGAGCTCTGTTGCAGCTTCAAGCTTGAGCCCTAAATCCAGGCAAGCTTTGCCACGCAGCTCGAGCACGACGCCATCTAGGCCGACATCCGCTCGTGGCTTCAAGGTCAACCTCAAATTTGAGTGTCGAGCTCTATTCATGGTGGATGGCTTGAACTTAGATCTAGAGGTCAAGCACCACCACGTGCGAGCTCGACCCCATAGCATCGAGCTCCACTCCAGATTCGTGCTAAGAAGGAGAAGAACGGTAATAAGGAGGAGTGCACATGGAAATGAAGAAAAGAAAAAAAGCCACACTGGTGCCATGTATTTTAAAAATAATAATAATAACATAGACACATTAGCATTTTCAGTTAACTAAATTGAACGAAGTTAACAGAGGAACTCAATTACACCGACTTAATAAGTTTTATGATTTGATTATACTTTTTAAAGGTTTTAGGTTTTAATTGCATTTTTCGCAATAAGTTTTAGGACTCTTGGTGCACTTATCCCTATATTTTTTGTACGAAAATATACTAGCTTTATCGTGATAAGCAAATTGGGTGGCCTGTCTTTTATTCTGACAGACCATGCCTATTATGTTCCCATTCCAACACTAGCAAGCTGGCGCATACCGGATGGAACAGGGTTAACGGAAGAGAAGAACTAGCATAATCCATCATCAACTTGCAACAGAATTGATCTAGAAGAGTATGCAGACTGACTGACTCCTAAGATGAAACTCATTTCTTAACGCGGCATTATGTGAAAGTGCAGAACATTGCCCAGAAGCTTATAGCCCCTTTGGTTGGAGCACTTTAGTTACGTGTTCTTTCTTCGATGTTTGAGTGCGCCACTTAGAGCACTTCTGGCTTACCTACTTTCGCCGCTAGGGCTAATCCACTATCGAATGGTTATGATACACCATCTTGATATATTGTTCTATACCTTGATTGGTATTACACACCAGCAAAGATCGGGGAAGACGTTCCATAGCTGCTTGTGAGCTAGACTTGCTTCTCTGATCACCTTATGAAAGAATGAACTCAACTAACGAATTGGCAGGTGGCTCAAAAAAGACATTTCCCAAGCTTTTTGGGTGCTCCAACTGATGGTTCTCCCCACCTCTTTCTTTGAAGCATAAAGGCGAAGAGCTGTTTGTGGTTCCTCTTGTTAAAACTCAAAGGGAAACATATTCGCACAAGCTTCAAAGGCCATACAGTGAAAGATTCCCACGAGAAGTAGTCCTTTGGTTTTGGATTGTCCGGTCTTTCTTCTCAATTCCCTTTCCCGGGCCAACTCAACTAAGAACTTAGAAGGGCAGTACCCAGGTCTTCAACAAGAAAGCTTAATGCATTTAGCATATCGTTTTTTCTTTAGCTAGGCTATCACATCGGGTTGCTCTTTAATAAGGAGACCGTCCACATGTGGGTGACTTTGGGCACAGGCACAAATTTGTTCCTAGCCTCGACTTCTTTTAAGGATTCCCCTCAATTTATAAGATTTGAAAGCTAACAAACTTTGGGGTTCCTTTCATCTTGGCCCTTGGTCGCGCTTTGCCATCACTTCTGTGTTTTGCTAGCAGCCGACAAGGTCTATCTCAATAAGAGGTTTAGGTCTTATGTCCTTTTGGGGCGACCATCTTGTGATCGCCGACCAAAAGGTGGTGCAGGCCTACAAATAGGTGATGTTCTTATTTGGAGTTTAGATTTCAATGGTGAAATCTTTGATTTCTAAGGGGGAAGTCCATTTGAAATTTCTACAGATTGTTACGTGAATAGACAAGGAGCCAGAGACTGTCGAGAATAGAGATATAGCTTCCTTCTTTTGAGGCGCCTCTCTTTCTTGATAGAACTGCTACCTTATGCTGGCTTACTAGACTAGTTGGTTTGCCTCCTCCGTAACTGGTATTTGTGTCGCTACCTATGCCGTTCGGAGAGAGTGTATTTTCAAAGTGACCTGAATCGCCTTCTCATGCTAGTAAACCACCTTAACGACTCTTCATTGGCTGCAATATATACGAGACTAAATTCGAGTAGTGGAGTTTAAGTGACGAGTATCGAAAAAAAATGAATAAACCCTTCATTTCGGTTTCTTCTTCAGCTGGTTAGAGTTTCGGTTGATTTGGTTTACCTAAAGCACCCAGAGAAGCTACGATTTTCTTGATGGAACCAAAAATAGGATGATGAAAGGATACAACTAATTGCACCGTGGCATCACGAGACCATTTCAAGGTCGTCTCACGGATAGAGTTCTTGGATACCAAACTAAAGCCATCCCTACACCATACTTAGGCACCTTAGGCATCATGGATGAAGGAAGACCACCATGCATGATTCCAAGTATTAATGTGTAGACTAGTGTTCTCCCACTTTATCCGCCTTGCAACTTGCCGAGGGAGTGACTAAAAAAAAGAAAAAAAACTTGTCAAGGGAGTGAAGAAGGATGAAGAAACCTTTGTGGCCCACGATTTGTTAAACCTCCACTTCTCGGGCGATAAGGGTTCCCTTTAAACTCCGAGGCTTGAGTTTCTTTTCGGTCATAAATTTTTTTGGGCAACGGGTTTCCTTATCAGGGAGTCCAGGTTGGGGGGTTGAAAGGTAAGAATTGTCTAACCGATGGATCCAGTATACCTACTTTCAACATTTTATGGCACGGCCAAACTCCCTATGATGTCTCGCTATAAAAGCCAAATATTTCTCATCCAATAGCCCTTTAGAAGCTAAACCCTCATCCGAGGCATCGGTTACTCATGCTAAAAGGAACAACCCGCGTTAGTGTGACGGGCTCGTTATGGCTATTCTCCATTCTCTACTTTAGATGCATAGGAGAATGCCATGAAAATAATGACTACTCTTAACCTAGTAAGAAAGTTGAAGCACAGTCTTTTTTTCAGCTGCTCAAGCCTCTTTTGAAATTAGGCTAGGCTCGTATTCAAGGTGTGGAGCCCCTTTCTTCACCCCATCTAGTCTCAAGATCTCCAATTATTTCTTCTCAATCTTTTCGTAGACGATGATTTGACAGAAAAAGAATATTGGACTGAACTAGGGGTGAACATCGGTCCCAGGTCCACCGTCCATCTGAGAACTAGACTGGCTAAGTGGCTAGTTCTGGGTGGTTCAAGTGGAAATCAGTCCGGTTCCCAATTCCACAAATTTGGAACCCGCAATAACCAATCTAGTTCTCGATTCTTTATACTGAAATGGTCCAAGTTTGCATCTTTTATTTTTCTTTTCCTTTTTCCAAATGGGGTGGTTCAGATGAACAAATAGATCCGTCATATTTATAGAGCGATTGATATATCGATCGTTATAAATTAATCTTAATATTTTCACCATAATTCAAAAGTTAATTTACAATAATTGTGGAGTGCAAACAAATATAAAGTTACCATAACCATGTGAGGAGGAGAGGATCCCCAGCTCAAACCTCCACCACTCAGCCAAGCTGTCCAATCATGTGGTTCACAAGATGCCATAGGCGCCCTCAAGATTTTTGGACTATTACAATTATTACCACTTATTATTTGCATTCCTGCAATTTATAAAAAATCAAAAATAAAAAAAATATTGTGTATATAGATAGATATATATCAATCCTCAAAACAATTATTTATTTTTTTAAAGTCCAGCAGATCTCAGTCTCGTTTCCTTGTCCCTGTTGCCCCTTCCATCATCTTCTTCCCCTGCGACGCCCCGTTGCTCCGCGCTCCAAGATCGATCGAGGTAAGCGTTCCTCTCGAGATCCGCCCTCTGCCCTCGATTCCTTGGCCAATTGGGTGTGCTCCCATCTCCATTTTCCGCCGCGGTTTTGCGGTGCTCGCGGGCTCCCGCGAGGGGGATGGATCGCCCCGCGATCGAGTGGGGCGGCCGATGGTGGCGGCGACGCGTGATCTCCGCCGATTCGTGATTTTCCCGTTTCTGGGTCTTCCGTCGCGGTTCGAGATTTGGGGTTTGATGGGTCGAGGAGGGTTCGTTTGCACCCCCCCCCCCCCCCCCCCTTCCCCCCGGAATGAAGGGGGATATCCCCATCCGATGTTGTTCTTGTTTCTGCGTCGGTGAATTTCTGATTTTTAGTGTCCGTTTTTGGTTTGTCTTGTTGCGGCGTGTCGATTGGAGCAATAGAGATGGATCGAGGGCACTGATATTTTCAAGGGGTGTGTTTGTGTGGGGAATTCTGTAGTTCCCTTCGGTACAATGCCGCTGTAGAGCTCCGTCGATTTGGTGTTAGTAGCGGCTCAATTTGGGCATATGCTTGATTCAGCTTTGTATTGGAGGAGAATTCATTTGGAGGGAAGAATGATTTTCGCGTCATTTGAATGGCAATAGCTTGATGTTTTCTGCTTGATGCGATTGCTTTCATTTCGTTTTTTCTTTGCTGGCCATTGGTATTACCATCCATCTGGTTCTGACTTGTTTGATGTGCCGTGTATTTGAAGCTTCAAAATGGGAATGGCAGAAAACAGCCACGATATGGAAGAGGGAACCCTGGAGGTTGGCATGGGTAAGTTCTTGAAAATTCTCATTCTAAAATAAAATGTTCATAAACATGAAAAGTAACACCTTCGTGTTGACATCAGAATGCTCAGTTAAGTGAAATTGGAGTGTTTTTTTAATGTGGAATTTTGAAAGATTTTTTCTTTCTCGATTCGTATATGCTAGTTGAATAGCACAGGAAATGGTTAATGTGTAGTTTGACGACTAAATAATCAAGAGAAGTGAGCTCAGTTAATAATGTTGAGTACTTGTCTATCGAGAGTTCTTTTGAATGGTTTAGCATCTGTTCTGATGTATTGCAGAGTATAGGACAGTTTCTGGAGTAGCTGGGCCTCTTGTTATCCTAGAAAAAGTCAAGGTTGGTTGTAACTCCCTCTTTGTTGTCTTCTCTGTCTCTCTCTCATTGCATTCGTTGTATTTAGCCTGGCTAATTAACTGCGTAGGGCCCCAAGTACCAAGAAATTGTTAATATACGGCTAGGTGATGGAACAATGCGACGAGGACAAGTCTTAGAAGTTGATGGTGAAAAAGCTGTTGTTCAGGTAATTGTTGTTCTTGAGTGCTACATTATTTATTTCGATACTTGGTTTACATTGCAAGACCTTGTCTTTTTTCATATATTTGTTTGTATCAACGGAGCCCTTTTGTATTTAAGATATGGTTGAAGCAACCGGTAACTTTACATCCTTGTTAATCATGTTTGGTCAGTTACAGTTGCAATAGAATTACGTTTCTGGTTATACTTTAATTTTTAATTTTCTAATACCTTGCAAGTTTTTACTATATATTGCATATTTTGCATATGAGAAACTGATAAAGCAACTGGCCACTTTGTATCTTTGCTTATCATGTTTGATCTATTAAACCTATGGGTCATTTTAGATATATGTTGAGCAGCAGTTGTTACTGCTAATGTTGATGATGGGTGTGCCCATGGTAATGCTGCTGTGAAACTAATCGAATGGAATTGCTTTGTGCCTTTATATTTGTATATATAGCATAGGTAAACTTTGAAATGATACCGTGAATTACCGCCTTCCACAATGGCTCTTGTAAAGGCACACACATACATGTATATGTATGTATATATATGTCAATCTATCCATACGCCTATATATTTATGTGTATATTTGTTGATAAGAACCTGCAGTGGATCTAATTTTTATTTGTTGATTATCGGTGTATTCTGGGCGGAAAAACTTAATCTGGTGTGCTGCTGTCTTTCTTGTGTGCATGGTCAGGTATTTGAAGGTACATCCGGCATCGACAACAAATTTACTACCGTGCAATTTACAGGAGAGGTGATGGCCATATGATGTTATTTTGTTGATAGTTAAGTTTAATATATGACAAGCCTGTGTTGATTGTTTTCTGTGATAACATTATATCAATTAGTTGGTGAATATTTCCAAAGGTTCATGCAATACAACAGGATTAGGACTTGATTAGGGGTATAAATATGGTTACCGTACTGATGAGAGCATTTGTCCTGGGCTGAAATGCCATGCTGATGCTAAGGCAAAGTATCGTGTTATAAAGTATGTGATTATGACTAGAAGAGAACCTAATCAAACATGGGGAGTTACTAGCACTTTAAGCAGCTGTTTTTCATTTTACGTTTCTCTGGAAAATAGTTGCATCCTCTTTAGCCAAAAAAAGAAACGAAAAGATAGTTGCATCCTTTTTACTATGATTTTCTGTGCTTGATTATATAGCTAGAGCTCAGAGCATGTTCTTGTCCTTAATAGAACAGCACCACTGCTTGTGGTGATCTGTCAACCGGCTCTTTTTCGATGAATCTGTGTCCTTAAAGAAGACTGACTGCTATGTTATAGTTGAGCTGTCATTTTCACTTGAATTAGACAGACCCAATGAATTGCTGGTGCTCAGCAGGCGGAGTATGTTCAAGTTTTCCTTTACTTATCAATGAAATTCACTGTTTTCATCATTTAGCTCAGTGTCTGACCTGCTGATCTTGTAGGTTTTGAAAACACCGGTTTCGCTGGATATGCTTGGGCGCATATTTAATGGCTCTGGCAAGCCCATAGACAATGGTCCTCCTATTTTGCCTGAAGCTTACTTGGACATCTCCGGTAAGTGAGTTGAAGGGGCGAAGTGAAAGATGGGTTGTGCTTCTCGAGTAAATTTAATATATAGAAATTATAATCCCATTTACTTAGCATACAGTGGGAAAAGCATATTAAGCTACATGTTCCAACCATCATATCGTTCATTAGTTGTTTGTATGTTACTTCAGGTAGTTCTATCAATCCTAGTGAAAGAACTTATCCTGAAGAGATGATACAGACAGGAATTTCTACTATAGATGTTATGAATTCAATTGCCAGAGGACAAAAGATTCCTCTTTTTTCTGCTGCTGGTCTTCCCCATAATGAAATAGCTGCTCAGATTTGCCGTCAAGCTGGTTTGGTAAAGCGGTTGGAGAAGTCTAATAATCTCATGGAGGTATGGTTGACTTTTTTATCTTTATGCACTAACGATTGAAATGAGTATGCCCCCGAAGGGTTAGTAGGTTTAATAGCCAAAGCTGAAGTTTCGTGTTTATATGAAATATGCTTTTACAAAAATGCTAAGTTCAATGGTTCTCAACTAGGCAAAAAGAAGAAATTGATTAAGTGTTTAGTCACATTAGTTCTTTGGTACAGGAAGAAAAAGATTGCATGGTTGGTCATATAGAAGTTGAAAGGTTTTAGCATGGTTAAATTGTCAGAAAATCTTTGTTGTGGAGTTAGACTGAATTCTGAATGTAAGATATATTATGTCTTAGTTCAGGACTCGTTTCCCTTGCATATGCTAATCAAATTCGCATTTTGAAAATTGTGTTTCTCAACTTTTTTCTGGAACATAGAGGCATTAGAAGCATGTGCACGTGAAAAATGAAGAGATACTGTTCACAATGGCACTACATGTTTTTTTTTGGGGAGTCAAGTGTGTTTGAGGTGGTTCTTCTGAGCATGTGTTCCTGGTATTACAGGATGTGGAAGAAGACAATTTTGCTATTGTCTTTGCAGCAATGGGAGTGAACATGGAGACAGCTCAATTCTTTAAACGGGATTTTGAAGAAAATGGATCAATGGAGAGAGTCATTTTGTTTCTCAATCTGGTAAATTATCCAGTCACGGAAGCACGCATGATGGATCTGTATTATGTTGTAATCAGATAATGTCATCTAGACAGGTTTATGTGGCGTAATGGTCCTTGCTCTACTTTCCTTTGTACCTTTTCAGGCCAATGACCCAACAATAGAAAGAATCATAACTCCCCGGATTGCCCTTACAACAGCAGAATATCTGGCATATGAGTGTGGGAAACATGTCCTCGTCATTCTTACGGATATGAGTTCGTATGCTGATGCTCTTCGTGAGGTGATACAGAACCTCGTTGCCCAGTATTAATTTGGAATAATCAAATCTGTCATACATCTTTCACCATCACTCAGTTCTTTTTCTTTCTTGAATGCCCAATCTTGATTGTTATTGGACCTTGACTTTTTTTATTAGTACTGGAGAAAATATTTAAGGTAAACTTCTTGTTGTTTCTGCAGGTATCTGCTGCCCGTGAAGAAGTGCCTGGAAGACGTGGTTATCCAGGGTATATGTATACAGATCTGGCAACCATCTATGAGAGAGCTGGACGAATTGAAGGACGGAAAGGCTCAATTACACAGATTCCCATTTTGACTATGCCTAATGATGGTAATGCATTTTGAGTACTCTGTCCACGTCTACTAATCCCTTCTGCTCATATAAAAAATGTATGCCTGAACTTGAATTGTTTCGAACAGATATTACACATCCTACTCCAGATCTAACGGGGTATATTACTGAGGGGCAGATATACATTGACAGGCAGCTACAGAATCGGCAGGTAAAAAGAACTTTGGATTCATCAAGAGTCCATAAGCATTTTAGTTTCTGTGGATTAGACTAAATCTAGTTAGCCTATGACACAGCCCATGTAAATTAACATTTGATTAGTTGATCTCTGGAGGGTTAAGCCATGGGTATGTTTGATACTAGGGATTCAAAAGAAAGGGGGCTGATTTCCCTGAAGTATCATTATACATTTTATTGATGAATATTTCTGCACCAAAATGATTGACCCCATGATACTCCAATATCGTGGAGTATTTTAGTGTTTACTAGGTTATCGTGGAGTATTTTAGTGTTTACTAGGTTAAATATCTGGTTTAACGTCGTCTTTCTTCAGTGCATTTTGGTGGTTGAGATAGTTCCACCCTTAATGAATTTTGATTGGGTTAGCACAATGAACTTAAAGATGCATCATATCTTGGTAATAATCTCCAAGGTGGATTGTCATGCAGCTTGAGAGCTTCACCTGTGATAGAGATACTTTTGGTCAACCTTGTAATCTTTCTTGTAACTCTGCTTCAGAGAAACTTTCTATTTTTATTCCGAGACTAAGTATTGTTTCATTTTGTTTCAATTTAACAGATTTACCCGCCAATTAATGTCCTTCCGTCCCTATCACGATTGATGAAGGTAAGATATAGATATAATTTGCAGTAATCTCCATCACTTATATTGCTTGATAGATCCCCGGAAGGTTGCTCATTGCTGCTTGATGATACTGTAGAGTGCCATAGGGGAAGGGATGACACGCAGGGATCATGCTGATGTGTCCAACCAGGTACTGTTTACGTGGTCATAACTGGTTCACCTTGCTGTTCCTTTATTTAATATAAAGCTGTCTTAGCCTCTTGACTTTGACCTTTTCAGCTATATGCAAATTATGCTATTGGAAAAGATGTCCAGGCAATGAAAGCTGTTGTGGGAGAAGAAGCACTTTCTTCGGAGGACTTGGTCTCTATTTCACTCTTGTCTATTACGATTATACTAGTTTCTGTGATGAATTTATTAGCCCTGAATATAGTAGCTTGAAAGATTAACTGGGATTTATTTTGCATGAAACAGTTATATTTGGAGTTTCTAGACAAGTTTGAGAGGAAATTTGTTGCTCAAGGAGCATATGACACCCGTACAGTCTTCCAGTCCTTAGATCTGGCATGGACACTGCTTCGCATATTTCCTCGTGAACTTCTTCACCGTATACCAGCAAAGACACTTGATCAGTACTATAGCCGAGATGCAGCCCATTGATGATGGAAAGCATCTCATGTTCAAGATATCCATCATTATTATCTGTATTGGAGCTTGAGGATTTGTTTATTGATGAGCCTTCCTTCCCAGGTTGCTTCTCTGCTTTATGATAGAATAAAAGTTTTTTTTCTATATAAAATAGTTGATCAGCAAATCAGACTTGTAATTTTCCGCGATAGCTGCGTAGATGACGTAAAGCTTCTCTGGTAATTTATGTCACTCCTGTGGTTTGGGTCAACTTCTGGTTCGAGCCAAGAAAATGAACGATGAGGGCTTCTGGAACTTAGAAGTGCTTTCTGCATGTAACATTCTTGTTCTTTATGCCATTTATCTTTGTATTAAGAACATTTTGGAGTGTTATTTTTGTGTATTTAAATGGATTATTCCTTATATAACTGGGAGGTCCCTTGTCTACATTTATAGAAAAGCTCCCGTTATATATTTAAAATGAGCTGTTCAGGTATCACCCGATCGGTGTTTTCACGATGCGATTTATTGAGGGCATCAAATAAGTTTGCAAGACTGGAAGTGCCTGTATCTTCACTACCTGGTGACATTGTCGTGATGTTGTGGTGAATGTGTTTGTGATACTGTTGCAGAACACTCGGGCACAAGATAAAAAGCCGCGAGTTTTGCACTTAATGATCATTTAGACATCCATACTTTCAAATTTACAAATTTGGGGCACCTGCACTTTAGCAAACATTGTTCGTTTACTTATAATAGTCAACTTTCGTTCCAAGAATATTCCTATACGTTTTCTCCCATCCACCAACATACAATCCTAGTCCACCGAACTCAATGCCAAGTCCCCAGCTCAGCCACATAGGGTTCCAATGCCGTGAAGGCACCCAAAAGAATTCGTTTCTGCCCTGTTCTTCTCCTGTGATCTCCCAGACACACCCTCACCCCGCCCCCCGGCGCCCCCCGACCCCCCCCCCCCCTCCCCCCAATCGACAGTGCCTCACTGCGCTTTGATGTGCTTGACCCGATATCACCCATGGCATCGCAACCTCGGATTGAGGCTATGGACACCAAGTTCTACCTTGTCAAGGTTGGAGGCTAGGCCGATACCTAATTGAATTGGATCAAAGATCAGGTCGGCCTCAATCAAATCGTATCACAAATCAGGTCGATACTGATAACCTATTAAATCGGTAGGTCTGGCCTGGTATTTAAAACACTGGTTTTAGGTGAGTTGTGCCTGCGTGGATGATTCAAGGTTAGGGCTTTTTGTAACCTTTTCACGAGGGAAGGTATCTTAGTCATTTCAATGGGAAGCAAACTTGCATTTTAAAAAGTAGAGGTGTCACAATAGCATTTTTCTTTTGTTCGTGTATCAACTTCAGCCTCGAGAACATGTTAAAGGGCGAACGATGAAGATGCAATGGTTTCTTTCCTTATGATGATCCTCTTTACTCGAGCCTAGAGGAATGCATGCTGCATCATGTTGCTTTTCCCTGTTCCGAGACTATTCTTTTCTAGTAGCTAGCCGTAGTTCTCCGGCGCCGCAGCTATCATAGGCATAATTTACCATATGGGTAACTGTTCATCGGTTCTCCTGGCCTACATGAACCCAAACGGAAGAATGAGAGTTTGAAGCCAGCTTCACATTCGTGAGTCATCCTTTGTTTTTTGGGTTAGACCACTTCAGTGAGCTTTGGGCTCGATGAAGCGAGAATACCACCTGGACCAAGCTACAGAAGCTCCAAATGAAGTTGCAGAACAGCGCAGAAAATTCCCATCAAGAAAAGTGTCCGTGAAATGAAATACATTTAGAAGCCTAATGAGTGTAAAATGTCCCCATTACTCTTCGATGTGTGTAAAAGTTGCATCAACAAATTCAGCATCAACGACCCTTTGGACATCATCGCAGTAGCAACGGCAAAACTTTACCATTCGATTCAGCTTTAGCGAATAATACAGAAATCAGCAACACCAGCCATAAAGGAGCACTTCGAATAAGAACTTTGTATAGCCTCTTTCACTAGAACCAATCCTCGCGTGCGCACTAGCAGCAAGCTTCTTGGTTGTTCCTCTCCGCAATTTAGTTGGCAAGGATTTACCAGTATCTGGTCATCATTAAAATGCTCTGCTCTCTAGCAGTTCTCCTGTTTCTCCTTTAAATAATTTGCAGTTCCTTTCAGTGGCCCAAGTCCTCTCCAACTAAGGATGTAGCGTACCCAAAGTGTAATCCATAGAGGTTCTCCTTGGAACACAAACACAAGCCAAATGGATGGAATAGAGTTTCAGCCCGCTTTTGAAGTTCTTGCAACAGGTGGTAGTACAACTTCATTCAAGTTCCCAGGATAAGGCGTCCACAGGCCTAACCCTCCTCGATTCTCTTTCAAAATGCTACCTTTTCCCTCAAACTCGCTCAAACTTTTCACCCATTCGATCTTAGAAGAGTGTTCCCGAGTGTGTGGATGTAGCACAAATATCGAGTTGTATTCACAATTTGGAAACATAAAGAACTTGAAAGCGCCTCCCAATCTGTAGACGACATACCCAAAACTGAGTTGGTCTCTAGGTGTGAATAGATCGACTTCATTGAACCACAAGCAGGAAAACAGATTGTTGATTGCAGTATGCTCACGTATGATAATGGCTCCCTCCGGAACATCTGCATTAAAATACCAAGTGTGGAGATGTAATTGCAGAAGAGCGACCAAAATGGAGTTTCATCCCCATTAAACAACAAGGATTTCTACAAAGTAACATTTAAGTGCTATCGGTCCTCTGACTCTCGATAGTTTCTTTAATAGTGTGGACACATTTTAGGAGCCTCTTAAAGACGAAAGTAATACCATCAAAACAAAAAGAAACATTGCCACTTCCAAAACTCTTCCATAGAAAAGGCGATTACCATAGACATCTCCTTTTCACAGCAAGTAAAAGCAAAGTTTATGTATGACACATGACAATCTGTCAAATAGAAAGATAGAAAGACTTCGCCACCTAACGCCATCCATCAATCTTACTGTGCCTGAAGATTCAGCTAAATCAGTTTCTTTTCAAAAAATAATTTTACTGCAGAAACAGAATTAAACATGTGAAATTCACTGAAGAAACCAGAGAGACGATCGTGTTTTGAAATAAAGACTCCGCTTTACTTCTTACCACTTGGGTTCCCCTTTTCAGGAGTCCATGATTGCATCCCCTCATATTTGTAGATTTTCATATGAAGATCAATAAGAGGCCGAGCATATCGCTTCCTGCGCTTATTTGCATCAGCCTCCTCATATATGCTGTGATGATGCTTGTGCTGGGCAATTGCAAAGGTATGCTTCCCCCTCCATAAATATCTGCAGATATAAAAAGATGAATCATACTCAAGTATGACTTCACATGGATTAGCCAAAAAAGTGTATCTGTTTCCAAAACTAATACAATAATGCATTATGCTAACTCATTCATAATGTTTAGTAAGGCCCATCATATTGACGCTCCCGAATGTGCGTGCACCTAGTCTTGCTAAACTAATAAATAGTCCCACAGAGCCCCCACTGAAGAACTACCTTCTGTGAGTCTTTAATATTGGTCAAACCTTCATTCTAGGCCTACTTTTACTACTTTAATAAGGTAGATTTGAAGATGGCCAAAAAAAGGAAGAATGTGAATGGTTGCTAGAGAAAAAAACTGGGTACTTGATTAAAGCCATGATGATAATGAGAATGTATGCGTGCTATATAAGATTTTCTTAATGGGTACTCCAGAAGCACTTCTAATGCATTGACTTATATTATTCCATATGTGTAATCAATGCTTTGAAATTGAACTTGACTGCCTCCGCTAAGGAAACCCAAAACTCATTCCAACTATTAAGTATGCTTACCAAAGACCCACAGGACACTTGTGAACATGATCATCCTCGTTAACATGATCCTAACATACAATCCAATGACATTTTTCTCCTCAATTGAAGTCAAAACAAATAGATAAGAATAATACCTTTCAAGCATTAGCAATGGGTCGACCATCAGCTCCATTTTACCATCAATCCAGATGCTGTACTGCGTTTGAGGGAACAATCTGTGGGTCAAAATCTTAGGAACCTTTCCATTTCTTCTGGGTTCATCATAGGGTGAATTCTTCAGAAGCACAAGACGCCAAATTCCCACCCATTGTCCCCCATCATCATCCTTCCTTACAGTAACGTTGTTCTTGATGAAAGCAAGAGATTCCTCATCCACCACCATGAGAAAACAAAAGAGCTTTTTGGACCGATCACTTATATTTGATGGCTGGTGTGGTGTGTCATATCCATCAAAAATGCCAGATGCAACCACAAATCTGCACTTCTTCACATATTTGATGTCAACAGGATCCATCTCAGCACCAGCATTACGGATGAAGCCACAATGCACCTAAAGAGCACACAATGTTGAGACCACAAGAAGGTCATAGTCTAAACTGCATAAAAAGCAATAATGGACTGTGGAAAGAGGGAGGAAAGGGCCAAACAGCATCAAATTTAGATTAAAAAAAAAACATGTAAATAGAAGAGACTATGCGATACAAAAATTTTGTCCCAACCAATATTAGTCATCCTCCACCCTATTGTGCAAGAATAAACCACTTCCTGCCATAAAAATTCAATTAACAGATTTACAAATTTACCTTCATTGTGGAATTTAGCTTAAAGCTTTCTTCTCTCTGGGACCAAGTTTCATGTCCTCCAAAAAGTGGAGGTGACTTCGATGCATTGTTGATTTGTTCATCCTCCATAACATAGTGCAGATTCGCAACAAATTTGTCTGGCGTTCGTCCACTTGGTATAGTGACTCTATTAGTATTGCTGGCAAGGGGTATTGGACATCCTGATTAATAAGCACATCTGATATTAAATTTGGAGCCTAAATAGAGACAAATACTTCAATTTGAAAGTATTTCTACTATCTTACGATGCTGTGGTTTCGGTACTATGCCCATCGTGTCTAAAATGAGATATACCCTGCTCTCTCGATTGCAAATAGCTGCATATCAACCAAATAGCTCACTTGTCATTAGAGACCTCAAATGAAGAAAGTGTTGCATGCTGGTGAAAAGCAATGTATATAAATCACAGTGCGTGCTTATCCGGTTACAACTCTAAAATATCAAGTTTGCCTAATTACAGCTCATGCCAATCACACTGTGCTGCCTGATGTCGCCATCAGCAATACCAATCACACAAGCAAACCTATTCACATTAACTATAAATATGTCTAACTATCCAAATCAAATAGATCAATCATGTACCTATTTTTTAAACCAAAAAAGAAATAACAAGCTTGAAAATCAATTTGTGATAAAGCCAGGACAATTTATGAGGAAACAAGCCAAATCTTAATGGTGATATTACCCAGCCAATGAAATTTTGTAAGATGGTATCTGATCACATATTGACGTGTCTACCAAGTTTTGTTGAAGATGGACTTCACAAATCAAATAAGACTCCTAAGGGATTAGGATTTTTCTCACGGAGAAATTGGCAGTCTTATATCATTTAGGACTCGATTCTTATTTGGATTCATTATATTTCCTTTTTAGGTTAAGTTGGATATTATGTGTCCCTGTACTATGTTATTTCTCATTTAGAGGATTCCTATTTCAGCTAAAAGAAGAATTAGAAAGTCTATAAATGTCGTTGTGATTCTTTTATTTTATTTAAATAGAGTTAATTATTTAAATACGGCAGTTCTTTGCTTTGGGATTATATGATGCCATTCTCCTCTTAGGTGTGATGCTTGTAAAACCCTTGGTGTGATGAATAGGAAGCTTTGGGCATTACACCTAAAGGTTTATCCTTTTGTTGTGGGACTTGCTGTCCTACATGATGATGCCAGTGCATGAATGGAATTTTGGAAAAACTAAGTTTTCTGTCTCCATAGCGCAACAGCTGACTAGAGATCAAAGGAAATAACAAACTGCTAGTGCAATTGCCCCAAAACCAATGGGGGACAGATATAAAGACACTTCAAATGTGATATCCATCAAAGTTAAATTCTACAAGCTATGTGTATTTTCCAAAATGTAAACAAAAGAAGGTAACACATATCTCCAAATTCCATGTGATTTTTTCCAAGGCAAATGGGTAGCTGGCAAATCATCGACAGTGGTGTATGCACAGCATATGATGTCATATTCAAAAACACGGCATACAAGCCAATGCTAAAAGCATCCAACAACAAGAACAAGAGGAGTTGCAGAAGCACCTGATAAGAAAGCAACTGAAGATTGACAAGACCATACATGGAACAGCAACACACTGAGGATGAGCAGCATCCAGACGACGCCCGCCACCAGAACCAGCCGAACGAAGCCCACCCTGAACATGGCCTTCACCGGATACTCGCGCCCCAATCTCCCCGGAGAATAAAACCCTCCTTCCCCATCTGCAAACTCAACAAAATCACAACTTGCTCGGAATTCTCCTCATCAAACACGCAACAACATCTCCCAAAACTGCCAGAAACTCATCTCCACTTCGAAAACTAAATACAAACCGCATCCCATCCCATATGTCGCTTCAGAGCAAAAGCAATTCGCGCTCACCTTTAGCCGAGGCGTTCTGATTCCCGCGGTCGCCCCGGCGATTCGCCCGCAGCGAAACGGACCGCAGGCCCTCCGCCTCCACTGATCCACACAGACTCGAGCTCGTCATTCAACTCGGAACACCCGCACAAAAAAAAATCGAAACGGAACGGGAACAAAATCGCGAGGAACCGCACTCACTCCGTCACGGGACTCAGGTGCTCCGAGAAACAGCCGCCATTCCCGAGGCGGGAACGGCGCCGGAGCTCCGATCCGGCAGCTACGTACGCGCGAATCGATCGGCGGCGCGGCGCGGCGCGAATCGCGGCGATGCGTGCGGGGATCGACGGAGAACTCGGCTGCGAATCTGCTGGAGTAAGGCGAAGGAGCAAAGCCTGCGAAAACTGAAGCGATGTCGTTTCGCGCCGGGAAGAGGGAGGATGGAATGATGATGTGAGGAAGAGATTTCGCGGGGACCGAAACGTGGGGCCCGGCTCGGGTGACCAACGGTCCAGGGTAGGGAAGGAAACCGGCTCGATCGGTCCGGTCCGGTTTCGAGTCGGGTACGTGAGGACTGAAAATGTCAAAACAGATCGAGAGGGTTTTTGTTTGGTTCGGTTTATCGTTCAACATTGGAATAATCGGTTTCTGCCGGTGGATTAGACCTATCATAATAAATCATAAAATTTATTTTTTAATCCATATTTGATGGTTTTGATTGTTATATGATTTAGTTATATTTAGTAAATGGATCATAAATTGATTTAGAATGATAAAACTCAAAAATTACGAGTGTTAAATAGATCTAGAACTTCTTTTCACTTGATCTTGCGTTCGCTCACTTCGTGCTCTTACCTCAATTTGGATATGAGTTTTCATAAATTAAATTAAATATGGAAGTGTTTTAATAACATGGGTTTCGTCGGGAATGGGTCACTAGATTTGTATTACATGAAAATTGATTAATTTTGGTCAAACCATTTTGGATCCGACATAAACCCGACCTGACCCGCCCGTTTGATGGGTTTACCATGGACGAGATCAATCAAGCTGGTTTTCACGATTATTAGGCAATTCTATGACTAAATTTAAATTTGACTCGAATCTAGATGGATTTTTTTGGGGTTGAATTCTAGATGGATTAGAAGGAGAAGAAAAATGCTAAAATTCGATCACTCTTTAAAATTAATTAACTAATGAAGAATGATTAATTTTATTGTTTCTGCTGACTGAATTTATTTCTAATCTATCTATAATCAATGGATTCTTTTCCATTACTACTTTCAAATAAAAAAATTTCAATTAGAATGGAGACCAACCTTTAACCAACTAGCCTATTCTCGATTTTACACTTTGGTTATGTTTGGTAAACATGATAAAATTCAGGATATCATATCATAAGTTTGGTGTCTGCTCCAGATATGATAGGAATATAACCCGAATAAAATTATCCCATGAAAGAGAAGGTATAAAGGTAGATATGATTTTTAATATTCTTAATATGGAAGTTATTTTTCTCAAATCACAAACTTCTTAAATTAATAAAATTAAAACAGTAATTGAATATAAATAATATTTGAAATCTAATATAAAAAATTCAAAATAAAAAAAATTCATTTTTATTTATTCCTATTTTTATTTATATTCGAACTATCTTATACTATAAATTTTATATTTTTTACATATTTATGTATTTTAGTATTTTAGGTATATTGGTATAGTTTACTATTTAATGAAATTTTATTAGAGAACAATGGAAGAGGTAAAAAGAAATAAAAAAAGAGAGGAAAAAATAATTAAAAAAATAAGCAAATACAAATGAAGTAGGCAACAGTGTTGTGAAGTTTCTTACCATCTCAATCTGTGCAATTTTTAAGTTCATTTACATTGATATACTGTTTATACTAAACAATGGACATTATAGGATGTGAAATTATCCGATTTTATTATTGCAATTCACCGAACAGTATATATGATATAGCAAAATACCTGGATTTCATATTTTATAATCTTAGCTAGAAATCCAGATGACCACACGTAGCTTTTTGGGTATAAATTAGGCTCTCAATTTCACTCCCAAAATAGGATTGCCGAATGCGCACACACCTCTCGATTAAAAAGAGCGTTGAGTTTGATTCAACATTTGAGGAAAAATCTTTGAGTAAATATATAAAGAATTTTAGCCTAAAGTGTTTTCATGAAAAAGTAAAAAATTGTTGTTCGATAAACTCTACTTCAAATTTAAAATTAAAACACTTAAAATTGGTCATACCAAAACTCCACTTCAAAAGTGCTTTGAGAGAAAAGCAATTTTGATGGAAACATAATTTAAAAAGTAATTTAATTAAAATTAGGCGTAACCGACGGTGAACAGAACGTACCGAGGCACCTCCGGCCCGGCAAAGTACCTCAGCGTGAACACCACCATGCCCACTGGGGGTGTCAATGGGTCGGGCCGGGGAGGTTTTCAGAATGTCTGACCCGACCCGAAACACTTCACATGTATGCTTGACCCGGAACTGACCCGACCCGAACAAAACATAACCTCAACAATCCTGTCGGGTCGGGTTCTTGTTTCAGGAGAAAAACACGGCATTCATTCGATCAATCCACGCCATTTGCCATAACTTCGTCATTCAGTACCAGTAAGTTCAAAAGAATACAATTTTCTTTTGCCCAGGATCAAACTCTCGGGGGGGAACGGTGCCATACCGTTGTCACCTCTTAGGAACTTGCCAGAATTCGTGCCTCACCATTGATGGAAAGCCGAGCTGGACAAGAACAACACTAAAACTGCAGCAATGGCAACGATGGAAGACCATCGGCAAATTCTTGCCGCAAAGTCCATCCTTTTGTAGTGGATCATCAGCAGCGAAGCAAAAGCGAATGCGAAGGTGAGCATGATGGAGGAACGTTTTTTCTTTTTTTTTGTCTCAGAATGATGGACGACGTTAGCGCTCTGAAGGTCGATGAGTCTCGCCTGAGGATCGACGTCGGAACAAGGGTAATTCTTCCGAGTGCTGAGAGCCAGAACCTTCTTAACCAGAGGATTCGACTCTTAACCCTCATTTTTCATTTTGCTTCCATGGATCTGAAGACGTCGCTTCATCCCGGCTCCCAAAACTAGTTCGTCCCAAATCGATCCCCCCATCATCATCGTGAAGCCTCCGTCATGAGATTCATCGTGACGGTCACCTTTGCGTGTTCGGCAATTCAAAGACGCCTTAGGCCTACTGGAGGACCGTGGGAGCGAGAGGAGGAAAGGAGACTACGATTCTTAATTGTGTTATCGCCGATGGAAGAAGAAGGCGCACTGTGTTCGTCCTTCTACTGTACGGTGGTTGGGCGCGAATGGTAACCATTCTGCTCCAGAAATCAAATTCTTGCCAGAAATTGATTTTTGGAGGAAAAATCTGTTTGATAAAACATGACTAATTCTGCTCCAGAAATTGATTTCTGGAACAGAAATCTATTTTTATTTTTTATTTTTTTGGGCACCTCAAAAAAAATAAATTTCACTCAAAGTGGGTGCCCAAAGTTATTGTAAGCCATTTTGTGAAGTTTTGAAATTTTTGATCTTTTGATTTTTTTGGACACCTCAAAAAAATTAAATTTCACTCAAAGTGGGTGCCCAAAGGTATTCTGAGCCATTTTGTGAAGTTTTGAAATTTTTGATTTTTTGATTTTTTTGGGCATATCAAAAAAATTAAATTTCACTCAAAGTGGGTGCCCAAAGGTATTCTAAGCTATTTTGTGAAATTTTGAAATTTTTGATTTTTTTATATTTTTTGAAAAAAATTCACCAAATTTCCTATTTTCTCAAAATCTGACTTTTTTTTTATTTTCTGGAATTTTTTATGAATTTTTCTGGAATTTTTCAATTTTTATGCATTTTCTGAAAAAAAAAAATTAGTGAGAAAAAGAGAGAAAATAGGAGAATGCATTCTGGAAGAGAGAAGCTACAAAAAGTAGTTTCTTTTTTTCTTGCCCAAAACTCATTCTGGAATCAAAAATGCATTCTGGAATCAAGTATTTTTAACAAACGCATTTTTATTCCAAAATCCAAAAATTGCTCCAGAATGCATTCCGGAAATTTTTTAACAAACGCATTTCTGTTCCGGAATGCATTCTGGAGCAGAATTTCTATTCCAGAATGGATTCCATGCGCGCCCTAAGGTTAGGGTTTACTATTGTTTCTGTGTTTGGGCTCGGGTATAAAACAAGCCCAACAGATTCATAACAATACCCAGTCTTTTTTTCATGTTACCCGAAACAAACTAAGGCTCAACCTGAAAAGGCCGAAAATTTTCGGGTCGAGCCGGGTTGTTTCGGGTCGGTCCGTGTTTAGTTGGGTTCTTTTGACAGCCCTAGAGACGAGATCAGACGAGGCGAGGCGAGGCGAGGCGAGGCGAGGCTCGAGAGCGTCCGATGGCGATGGCGATGGCGATTAGTGATTGAGAGAGGGAGATGGGTCGGCCCAGAGTGTTAATGGGTCGGCCCGACCCTACCCCAATCCTAATGATACCCCAAATTTTAGGGCCATATTCGAAGAAGATTAAAGCCTAATCCCAAGATACCCCAAATTTTAGGGCCGGACAAGGCCGGCGCGGGTCAGGCCAGGCCGGCGCGGGTTTTGTTGACACCCCTAGACGTAGGTTAAGATTAAGTCGTGTATCTATTTAACACTTAAATTTTTTTGGATTTTACCATTTTAAATTCACGATAGATTAAGAAATGAGTTTATGACTCGTACGGTCAGAACCGACTGCCCCAATGCCGAACCACAAATCGAACCGAACAAAAACCCGTCTCGATCGGTTTCGACTTCCGAGTTCTCGCCTACCCGACCTGAAACCGGACAGGACCGGACCGGAGCGATCGAGCGGGTCTCCTTCCCTAACCCCCGGACCGTCCGCTCACCCGAGCCAACCACCGTTCCGGTCCCCACCACAAAATCTCTTCCTCACATCATCATTCCATCCTCCCTCTTCCCGACGCGAAACGACGTCGCTTCAGTTTTCGCAGGCTTTGCTTCTTCGCCTTTACTCCAGCAGATTCGCAGCCGAGTTCTCCGTCGATCTCTGCACACATCGCCGGAGAACCAATGCCAAGCCAAGCCAAGCCAAGCCCCCAAAATCTTTTCAGCATCAAAGCACTCACTCACCACCATTCACAGATCAATCTCGAACCCCAAAACCCTAAATTGGCCAGATCGTTGCCTCCTCCGACCACGATTCCAGAACCATTAAAGGACTAAAAATGTTCTTTTCCATATTTGGCCGAAACCTGAAAATGTTCTTTCTGTCGTTTAATATAGAAAATCAAATCCCAAA